TATAAAACAACACTTTGCTCTTCACGTTTCGACTGTTTTGTTCAATAAAGCTTAACTTAAGCAAAAACAAGTAGACAACTTCTGAAGTGTCAATTAAACAATCTCAAAGTACGTCAGAATATAAGTATATTACCAGTTCTTTATTAGATAAGTTATTGTTAGAACATTAATATTATTTAACTTTAAAGGTGGAACCCTTAAAAACACCAAAGGGTTCTCTTTGAACCCTTTACTAAATTGAATAGACAAATACAATTAATCCACGACAACTGGCTATTTATTACTGTTTTACGAATAAAACTTTATAAGGGTAGGACGGACTAACCAACGGATGAATTTCATCTCCTCGTCGTCTTTTATAATGAAAGTTTTTGTCATCTAAAAGAAACCATTTTATATTTCTAAAACCCTATAATAATCAAAAACAGATATTTATCGAATGGTTATAATAAATGTAGTATAATATACATAGGCAAAAACACTATCTCCTCTGTAATCTCTTTGTCAATCAATTTACTTGGTTTTCTATTTAATAGCTATGGACAAGCTTTAGTGTTACCAATAAAAAAAAATTGGAAGCAGTTTTTTTTTAAATAGGTAAATTATATTCATATTTAATACCCTCCTGCAACAACAATTACGGTCGAATTTTGGAAACTAAGCCAACACTAGTTAAAGATAGGAGCAGAACATATGAAATATCAGGAATGTCTATAGAAATATACAATATAACAAGATATGATTCGTTAATTTCAACGTGTCGAAAGCGGCGGTGAGGGCATATATAAGTACTTAATAACTGTAATCAAACAAACATGGGGCTAACGTGAGAATGCAGAGGCGTCCTCAAAACTTAGCCTCCGGTAACTATAGAAATTAAATACCATACTAGCTTCTGATTCCGGTTTTACACGTGTTTGCTTCAATTATATAGAGATGAACTGATCTTGATATCCGTTTGACGTTATGGCCGTTGCAGCGTTATTTGATTATTTAAATCTATTTATTGAAAATAGGAAATAAAAATCATGCATTTCATTGAACGCCTTTTTATGTCACTATTTTTCCTTTTATAAATTCTGTCACAGACGTAATTTAAAAAAGTTAATAAAAAGTCTTAATAGAAACAGAAAAATAAAAATGGATGTGCGTATATATTTGTGTATGTATTTATTTGTGCCTACAACGTAATCGTTTGGAAGGTAGCTGAACCACTTTGAAATTATTCCATTGGTTGATTTTATTACTGTTCAGGCTCGCCCTAAACAAAGAAGAATCTAGAAGGATGACTGCCGAGTGCGAACCTTCAGTAAGGAAGAGACACTTGAAGAAGAAGATTGATTATTTTAAAATATGTAAATGGTTTTATATTGTACCTAAATGTTAAAGTAATCCAATAAAGATATTTTATTGATTATTATTATTAAAATTGAAGTAGCATAACACCTCGTCTTATTCCACTGGTGATCGCGGGCTGGCTCGTCAATTGTCCAAAGAATTGGCATTGCCAGTCAGCAGGGGAATGCGGCTAGCATTCGTGCCACTATTCTACGACATGACTTGTACAGTAATAATTAAGTATATTTGTAATTTTCTTTATTGAAAATAGATGTAAATATTATTCAGTGACCTAACGATTATATTTTTTTACTATAATTATCAGTTATAATTTTTATTAATTAGTTTATCGAACATAAATACCAATATATGTACTAAATTAAAAATTCGAAGTTTCCTACATAATATTTGTGTAATGTGAGTGCTTTAATTAACCCATAGCCCATCACCTAAAACTGTGGGAGGCTTAAATGGCATAAAGGAAAGCTCTATATAATTTAAGAGTTGTAGGGATGAATTGTATATTATACCCGTATTTACATAGGTCGCGTTACGACGTCGACACTTTCTTTTGACGTAATTGACCGACTTTAATAAATAGAGAGTACTGAATTAGAGTACTTTGTATGTGTACGTCATGATTTTGAACTAGTTTTCAGGATTTATTATGGATTTTTCGAAAATCCATTTACAATTGGCAAATATATCGCTTGTCATATAAAAAAAACACGGATAATTTGTCTATCAATTTTATTTATATGTATATAGTTATTATACATACAATATTTATATAGTAACTTTAATAATATAAAATTCAATTAACTTCTTATATAAAAAAGTCGAAATACTAACATAAGTCAAATAGTATAAAATAACTATATAACTTTTATAATTCAAACATAATATAAGGCTCAAATATTCTTTAAAACAACAAGCTAAAACCCTTGTCTTTAATAGACATTGTCATTATAATAAAAAACGTGCTGCAAGGTTTAAAATTATACGGTTTAAGTACCAAAATTATCGAGCTCGAATAAACACCACCACAATAGATACGGGTATATAAATTTAAAGCGGGCTCTTCATCATCGCCTAAACGGAATCCTATGCCAAAGTGCCGCGTTAGAATATAATATTTAAACTCAATAATGCTGTGAAATGTACGATAATATTTAATATTTCACGTACTTATAGTCTTCAAATACTTTATTTTACGTTTATATATTTATATATATTACTACTAGCGCTACCCGCGGCTCCGCCCGCGTTTAGATGACCAAAAACCAAATTCTTAGGTTTTAGGTACATATTAGTGTACTCTTACATTGCAGTTTTTGTATTTTTTCTCAAAAATAAGATATTTTCCCGCGGTAAAAAGTATCCTATATGTTGACCTGTATAACCAGCTATCACCGTACTAAATTTTATCAAAATCCCTCCAGTGATATTTCTGTGATGCGGTAACAGACAGACAGACGAAAATTCTAAAAACTATAGATTCGAGCTCTGTATCGATAATAATGTTTATTTCGATAAGATTTTCAAAAAAATATCGAATGTACAGATTCGGCTTGGTTACAATTTTATTATATGTATAGATTGGTTTTTAACGCCTTCAGTTATTAGTATTCATTTCTTAAAAAAAGGCTTAAATGCTAACGTTGAGACTTAAGAATTAAATAGATGGTGTCAGCAAAAAAATATGTCAATGTCTAAAATAGTAATGTGATTTTACTGTTTACGCTGCTATTGTCAATTTTACACTATACAGATCGTTTCCTTTCTTTACATAATAAGGGAAGTTTTATAGAGGTACTAGCGACTCAACCTCGCTCCGCTCGGGTTCGTTCATATGGGAGTTCAACGGTTAGTATAGATTTTTCAGAGATGAGTATTTTTATAATTGAGTATTTTCCCGCACTATAAAGTATAACGGATAACCAGCTATCATTATTCCAAAATTTCATCAAAATCAGTGCAGTGGTTTTCTCGTGATTCCCAGATAGACAGACAGACAAATATCCTAAAAACTATGGATTTGTCCTCTGTATCATATTTAACAAAAAATATTTAATGTACAGATTCGATTCAGTTAAGTTTATTATCTACATTTTTTAGTAGAAAATATATAGGTAATATATTATGTAATAATTTGTATTGTTTTGTATTTTTTATTATTACTTCTCTTTCCATTGAAAGAGAGATAGCATGATGCTAGCTTATTTATGTTTTCCAAATTATATTAAAACTGGAGACGTATTTTTATTTATTTAATTATTACAGAAATGAGTTTGAATATTTGTATACTGTTTTAAAACATTATATATTGTTTTAAATCATATTTAGTTTTTTAACACTCTCTCTCTCTCTATATATTATTTCTTAGGCTAAAGTCTAATGATAGAAGTGCAAATAAATCTAACAAGCTTACAAAATGAGTAATGAAATATGAAGAATAAATAACTCGTGTTCAAAAAATCATAGAAATCAAAGAAATAGTCTATTACTTTTGAAATTTGATCTATAAAAGTATCTTTACTGAACCCACAAATACCACCTTAAATGGTCAAACTAGTTCCCTATTAGATAGTTCCAGTACATAATATGTAAATTTTACTACAATACGTATCTTGTACTTCAGTGACTTACAACTTAATTTGTAAGCTCAAGACATTTATGTGCTTGAAATGGTGTCTTAATCTATAATGCAAGGTAAGAGTGGGTGGTCTAGTTCGTTTGTTTATTGCTCTATAAAGTGAACCTGATTTGGGCTCTATTTACTATTTAAATATAACTTGAATTATATATATAACTAGCGATGGAAGACAAAAATACAAAGTTTTTTTTTTAAACAGGAATCTTCGCTGATTTACGTAGAACAGTACAGCGATGTTTCATTACAATTGAATGAATGTCTTAGAAACGCTCAAAGTACAAACGTACAAAAAAACATTAATTTATATACATTTTAGTAAATACTTGATTTTCCTAGAAAGAGGCTAATGCCCAAAACATGACAAAAAAAATTAACTAGAAGTTTTTATTATATATTAGAAATTATAATAAATCAGGTACACAGACTCGTATATAACTTCAAAAGTCATTTTTACTCCACTTTTAATAGTTTTAATAGTTTATGCTATTGACCACCGACAGGTCGATATTTGATCATAGTAATTATTGAAAATTTAAGGGCAACACTGGTATGAATACCATTTATCTATCTATAAATAAAAAAACTAACTGTTTAAAAAAAATATTGGCCACATTAAAGTTCAACAATAGCTACTTAATAAAAAAAGAAAATCGTTGTACAAACAGACAAGAAAAAAACAGGCTAAATTTTAAATAGCCTCAATTCCTAATTATATTTTCTATACGTATTTTTGATACTCATTAATTACCTATAGTATAATAAATATTTTTTTCTTTGTTTCAGATCCAGCCATCAATGTTCAAAACAAAGTGCTACAATGAAAAATGCTAACATTTATCTCGTATTTTATATTCTATTGATATAACAGATAATATCATATTTGCTAATTCTCAAAAAAGTTTCTTTTTAATAGTGGAGTTTAGTGATGTGTATAAATAAAAATTGATTGTTAACAATGTGGTTGTCCCGATTGGGTTATATTTTAAAAATATTTATCTGTTTAGTGATGTACTGTGTGAAAAGTAGACAAGAAGTGCTTATTGAAGAATCATGTAAGTATATTAATATATATTAATTTATAACCAACTTCCAAAAACAAGGAGGTTCTCAATCCGTCGGAATCTTTTTTTTATGTATGTTCACCGAATACTCAAAGACGCCTGAACCGATTTGGAGCGTATACTTCCCAGGTGGCCCCATATAAATTTTATCGAAATCGGTTGAGCGGTTTTAAAAAAAATCAACAATAAATATTTTTTAAGCAAATTGTTTAATCGAATATGTTATTAAAAACTTTCTTCCTACAAATTACGTGCTTATTACGTCTACAATAAAAATGTAAAAATATAATCTTTAAAAAAAAATAAAACCGACTTCCAGGCACTAAAATGTAAAAAATAACTAAACGGGGGTATTCATTTAAAATAGATACCTAATCAGACATTTTCGAAGTCGGTGCCAGCGGACAATATTTTGAGATATGAATATCTAATAGGTAAATATGTATTTTACGTATATTAGATTTCCTATGCGTCGGCTGGCACCGACTTCGAAAATATCTGATTAGATATCTATTCTAAATGAAAACCCCCGTTTAGTTATTTTTTACATTTTAGTGCCTGGAAGTCGGTTTTTTTTAATTACAGTACAATTCTTCAAAATAGTTACGAGTATAAGCTTCGATTTTTGGTCAAAATTATATAATTTTTAAATAATATTAGAAAGGGGAGCATATAATTTTTTTATATTATTTTTTCTGGAATCATGACGGTTTATTAAAAACCTGCAAAATGTCTAAGCGGCTAATAAAAATCTTTATCTTACTACTTATATAGAATGGAGATTTAATAAAATACGATTTATAAAACGTAAGCAAAGAAATTAAATTAAAAAATATATTATGTAATTAAATAAATAAGAATAACTAAAATAAATCCTTCGTAAAAATTCATCTTGATGTATGCTATAAACTTTTTAAGTTTTTCAAGTTTAGGCGCGACCCTGACGATTCTACGTACTCTTTGAGGCACAGGGATATGTCGTGATAAAAAAAAACAAATTCAAACTCAAGGGACCCAACCCTAGGACATCACGATCTGTTCCGTACATGCTAGCAACTAGATCAATAGCGCAGTTCCGTTCATAATAACATAATTTAACCTATAATCCAATTTTCTTATGTCTCGTGAACTTAAATAAATTATTTATTTATTACAATACCCGCATTGGTCTAATCGAGCCCTGAGGGGTGTCTGAAGTGCTATTTTAATTAGCTAAATGAATCATTTCCATTTATAATTGGATACGATAGTCATGCTCAGTATCTTAATTTACAAATCCTGTTTCCTTATTTTCAAATGTGATACCGAAACGTTTAATTAAGTGAGCTATAACAGTATTTTTAACAGCAATCTTACAATATAAAGCAGTAAAATCTGTTTGTTTGTGGAGGATTATTTCGGTACTTTCATTGATAATACTATATACTCTAGGAGTAATAGGCTTTGTCAATACATTTCACGAGCAAAACTGCGGTAACTAGTCTTATATTATAACCAAAGCTTAAATGTTTTTGTTTTAAAACATTAACACATTATATAATTTTAATTCAGTTTTTATTTCAGATTTCACCATTTTTCATTTTTTTATTAAATTGAAAATATATGTATATATATAGAATCGGTACATGTAATTTGGTAGTAAATGTACCTAATTTGTTAATGATTTTTTATTTATATTAAGGATATATAAAAACAGAGGACTTTCTTTCAATTATTTATTTGCTTTGTATGGGCTGGCACCGATTTCGAAAATATTTGATTAGGTATGTATTGAATAGGTAGGCTTTAATTACTTAGCCAAAGCACACCGACTTCGAAAATATTTGATTAGGTATGTATAGTAAATGGAAACTACCAATCAGTTATTTTTTACTTTTTATTGCTTTTGTTTGAAGTCGGTTTTTATTTTTTTGTAAAAGTTTTTGTAGTCATCTATTGTAGGATGTCACAGAAAAATAAAAGATTTGCAGTATAAGATAGGAGTTTTTACCTGCGAATACAGGCGTCAAAAATACCTGTGTGCAAAATATAAAAGAAATCAAAAGTGCATGTATATTGCATTGTATTTACCATATATCGCAGGTTCGAATTCCGACATTGCAATAGGCAAACGCTTTATAAATATGACTATACTAATAGTTGAAGCGGTCAAATTATCTATAGTAATCAAAATAATACTATCTTAGATTTACGCGAATATTTAATATTTTAAATAAAACTATCTTTTCCCTATTGGACGGATTATTTTGATTTTTATTGAACCATAAAAATTTAATTTTGAACCAATAATCAAAATCAATCCGCGAAATAATCCGAAAAGATATTTATTTAGTTCCTAATCTATATTTCAAAAAACGAATCACTCACTGATTTTCGAATCACGACATTTTAAAAAGTATGAAAAAGTATAGTTATATTAGGTACTTTAATGTATCGTAGACATTGTCATAACAAAGAGTGTCGTAGAACTAAACATGAAGCCAAACAATTATGTTTTGAAATAGTATACACATATTAATAGAATACTCAATACTGTGATAAGTAAATAAATGTTAATAAATAAAAAAAATCATTTATTTATTAACATTTATTTACTTATCACAATAATGAGATTAAATTATTGGGAATCTCTAGCTATATAATATAGAATCCATCACTCTTTCAAGGGGAAGAGAACTAATATTTAAAAATACAAAAGAATTTAGTATTATTTTTATTTTCTACTATTCATATATTCTTCTCCAAAATTAATGACTAGACTTCAAAAGCAGTTACACTCCTCACAAAGACGATATATCCACTACGAAAGATTTTTTTGAAATAAATTAAAACTAAATTAAAACTGAAAATAAACTAAAAGAGTTATTTAATAAGATGTTAGAATTTTGTATGAAGTTATATTAAGGCGGGCAGAGTCTCGGGCGAACACTAGTCTTATATAATATTCAGTACTTTGGTCATTATTAATAGGAAGATATATGAATACTAGCGGACCCGACAGACGTTGTCCTGTCTACAATGATAACAAAACTTTTTTTTAATTTGATCGCAGCGCTAACTGTCGGGACAGACTAAAATTAAAATTCGAATATTATTTAAAATTTGACACTGCGATGGTAGCGCCGTCTGTCGGATCCAATGTAAAACATTCCAAAATCAACAACTACTAATAAATTAAAAATTAATTAAAAAAACATTGTCCAGCGGACAAAATTGTGAATCTAAACCATTCCCAGATCCCCTTGAACACACACAAAAAATTTCATCAAAATCGGTCCAGTCGTTTGAGAGAAGTTCAGTGACATACACACTCACAGAAGAATTATATATATAAAGATGTTATGATATTTTATCGGCCGATACCGAATAATTAACAACGTGTGCACTTCCCTATACATTTATATTGGTTACGCACCCGATTGAACTGTCAGCCGATAGAAAGTTCCCAGTCTGAGGGAGTTTTAAGATGAAGTGTGGTATATTAAACTGTCAACCAACACACAGTGTTTTAATACTCGCGGAATAAAATCGAAATGAGAAATTCATGTGTTTGTACTCCTCGCGAAGCACATACAATTTTCGTACGAGTAACGAAAATTGTATGTGCGTTTTGTAAAATATATTTTAAATGCTAGGTTTTTATGCTTAGTTATTATATTATTTAAAATTATAATGAATTTAATAGTAATTATTTACATATATGACCATTAATTAATCATTAAATTTAGGTCAGATCATTAATATAATTTTAACGGTAAAATAAAACATTTCCTTTAATCGTTTAGTAATTTTATTTAACAAAAAACAATATTATATTTAAATATGGTCTCAAAAGAACATTTTCCTTATAAAAGAGTGACTATATCTAGTCTAGTAGACTCATGATCTATAGTAATAAACTTATATAGCTGTAGATCGTCACATCCTTGGTTCGATTCCCGAGTAAGTCAAAAGAAAAAGTCCTAAATACACTATATTACATAAACTACGTTTCGTAACAAATATTACGATATATTGTATATACTAAGATTCGTTTAAACCCCAGATAATTAATAGGGACACGTCGGGCGCACATTAATTAAACTAATTAAAAACAATGACATGTCCGTCACCACGCGTCAGAGCCTGAGCTCTCATTATTTTATACTTTGAGATGTTCTGTCGGTTAGTGTAACAAGAGGTCTAACAAGTTGTATAATGATTTGAGTATCTAGACTTGTAACTTTGTTAGAGAATAATATATAGAACTAGCAGAACCCGCGGCTTCGCTCGCGCAACACTGCAAAAAGTCTCTAAAAAGGTAGTTTCATACAAAATTTCATCCCCTATTTAACGCCCTCATACGATCAATTTCTAAAAATGCTAAAACACGTATTTATTAATTTTATTTAAGAGCATTAATACCAAGTTTCAAGTAATTCTGATCATAAATATTTTTTTGGATTCTATTATAACGTGTTTTCCCGTGGGAATTAGATAAGCTCTCGCGGTAAAAAGTAGCCTATGTCACTTTCCAGCCGTCCAACTATCTCTATACAAAAAATCACGCGAATCGGTCACTCCGTTTCGACGTGAAAGAAGGACAAACAAACAAATAAAAAGACATACCTTCATATTCATTAAGTATGGATTTATAGCTGTGACTTACCCTCTTCTCGCTCGGATACGTCACTAGGTCCCTTTTTGATTTATAATATTATTACGACTCGCACTCTTTTCGCTTGATGACTCGTTTGCAACATCGCCTTTATTTTATACTTTTAATTGATAATTTTAATTACTGTTAATTAATTGATAAGCTAAAATTAATAAAAATCTCGGCTGAAAATATTTTAATAAAATTGATTTCTTAAGGTAATTCATATTACAAATAATTTCACATCCCTGGTTTTAGGCAAATCATTAGTACAAAATTTTAATAACAGAGAAAAATAGTGATTTCTCTGTATCACTTTTGTTGTAAATCAAGACAGAATAAGAGAGAAGGGACG